TACATGCAAGCTGCGCCACATGTCACAGAGAGGCTAATGAGGGCAGCAAGACACGCAGGTAACCATGGGGAATATGGGTATTTGTCACTTGATACAGTGCTGTAATGTGTACTCCACGTCGTGTACAGTGTGTACTGTGCTCACACGTTGATGTGCTTGCATGGTTTTGCCACAGGTGCGGGTCCTGGGGGAGAGAGCGCTGGCCAAGTTATGAATTTGCATCTTGAGTCCGACTCGAAGGCCTTCTGGCAGCGCATGGGGAGAGGGACCACAACGGTGGAGGATCTGTTAGCGAGGCCAGATAGATCCCTGATAGGTGTAGAGTTTAAGTTTCCAAAATGGGAGAGAGGAAAAAATGGCGAGCCTAGAAGAGAAGAAGGAAACGGATGGGGCGGGGAACGCAACCAAGCTGCAGCAACCGTCCTGCCGGGTGAAGGTAAGAACCTAGTTAGATGCTAGTGCGAAACATGCGTGCTGCGTTTAAACACCGGATCCCCAGGCGAATGAATATCGTTCCACCAAAAACTTCCCTCCCCCTCCCAGCCCTGTGGGCCTGATGCTTGTTTCCCCCGCGGCACTGCCAAGACTAAAACGATCCCGTCCCCCCTGCCACCTGCACTTCTATTCTGCCTATTATCTCTCACCAACCCTAAATCATATTTCTGTCCCTATTCGCTGAATTCTCTTCCCCGTCGCACTGCCCGGAATTCTGTCGCCCCCCGCTCTGCCCTGGATTCTTGTCCTTTCCACCCTCCCCCGACCTGCCTTGAATCCCTTCCCACTCGACTCTTGAGGGATTCAGTTCCCTCTCAACCATCCTGAATTCTGCACTTCATTCCTAAAGTCTCTTCCCCCCATCTCGAATAATGCTTCCGCCCGCCCTAATTCTTGTGAAGAGCGCTGCATGTCAACAGAAACCCCACAAACAAATGAGGACGGACATGGGCCGTGCTTGCCGGCCGAGAACGTGTATGGGGTTGAGGGGGTGAGTGTCGAAAACAATACACAACCGTGAGGCGCTCATTCGAGCGAACAAGCGGGTGGCCCTTCTGAGGGGCCAAACAGGTACAAGCAATAATTGTGTGTTGAAATAATAACCCATATGTTCTTTTCCACATTTATTAATAAGATGGTCAGTAGCACGTGCACACCCTCAGAAAAACCAGTCCAGTTTCTTATCCCGCTTGATTTCTGTGCATGCAGACAGGATGCTGGCAGCGTGACGCGCAAGCGTCGTTGGCCTCGTGGTTGGCCAAACCCCCCAAATTGGGAGGATTTTCCTGCCGACATGGTGTGTTTTCTCGATCCGAGGGTGATGGTATCGTTCTTTTGTGGTCGCGCCTTAGGCACGTGCGTGAGGTCTGCGTGCAGAGGTGCAATGCAACTTGAATCGTGGAAGCGGTCATGGGCATGTCTGGGGTTGATGTGGTTGTGCAATGTTTGCTCAGCCAAGGAAGAATTATGGTCAAGTAGTCGAGTGAGAGATGACCTACCTCCCAGCAAGCGTGGTCCACGTAGTCCGCCATTGATGGGTAAGATGATTGGAGCATTCGCTCTTGCCGGGATCGGGTATCAGCAGATGTGGGAGGTATGTCGCACCCTTGGCGTGCCTAGGCCAGGGCATGAAACATATTACATCGGTGTTAATGATAGGGAGAATGCAGAGATGGATAGGGGGAGAGGGTGAGGGGCGGAGATAATGCATCGGTGGATAGGGGGAGAGGGTGAAGGGCGGAGCAGCAGGAGCGGGTGGAGGACTTTGACGTGGGGGGCATAGAGGCATACAACATGCACAGGGGTGAGTGTTGAAGGACGGAGGGTTCTCCTTCGGAATCCCACCTATTCGCTGCAAGTTCTTGGTGAGGAGGGGGAAGGAAGGTTCCATTGCACGCCCCGTGTGTCCTGGCCATAGCAGTTTTATCTCCCTGCCTTTCGCTCCCGGTTCCCATTTCTCCGTCAATTTTTAACCGATCCGGGAGAGGGGAGCACACCCATTTCTTCTGTTCCGCCCATCCCTCCTGTCCCATCCTCTCTTGCCTGCCCGTCCTCTCTTCCCCGTCCCATCCTCTCTTCCGTCCCACATTCCCATCTCCCCCTGCATGTCAGCCAACGGAGAGCATGCTGCAGATCTGTGAAGAGAGTGGCCGAGACCTCGCCAGGGAGGTGAGTCATTGCCCTGACTGCTCTGCATTGCTCATGCTGTCCGTAGTGCACGGAATGCCCGCCGTGGCCGCCCTGTCCGCACCGCACGCACTACACTGAAAGGCACTTCAAAATGTACAGTCAGCGCTGACCCTAGCACTCTGCACCAATTTAAGCATTCTTGTTTCCCGATCACCTTTCTCCACGTCTCTCCACCTCTCTCGGCCCTCCCGCCTCGATCTGTGCTCAGACCCGCAAGGGCAAGGCCAAGCTGCGCAGCACATCAGCCAAGTCACCACCAGCCATTTCCCTTGCTCCCTGCTCACCCCTTCCTCGCCTAACTCCGTCTCTACAGTACTGGCTCCTTCCTTCGATACCACCTCTTCTCCCCCATCTCCTCTCCCTGCCAACATCGTGCCACTCCCCCCCTCCCCCTGCACAAGCACTTGCTTCCAGCCTGTCTTTCCCCTTCTCCTCTCGCAGCCTACCGTATCCCTCTCACGTGTGGGTAATAATGAGCCATAGCCGCACAAGCTGTGGCAGGGTGACGAACAAAGCAGTACACACCGGCAGCTTCCAGGAGACGCATTGTCTTCAATGGTGCAGCATGGAATGTCTTTCATGCCTGTGCCATAATAAGCGACAGCGGCGTCGCCACTGTATGCTCTACTCGCTCCCCCATGGCTAGAAGCTGGGAATTGAAACATTCCCTTCCCCATCCAGTAACATACTTGACTGCACACAAAGGGCTACTTCATTGATCTGGTTGTCGCTTTGCTGTGATGGTCATCCATCTACCTATCACACTATTGCGGACTGTGTAAAAAGAGTAACACATGTAAATACAATAAGTTGTTCCCGATAACCCTCCCTCCCGCACTAAAAATCAGTAAATTCCAGACTCCTGAGTCGCCAGGTGGACAATTGACGATTGTCTAGCATCGATTGACCTCATCCCAAAATCAATCTCGTCAGGGATGACCCATTCCAGGTTGAACCAGTCCACATCGCCTTGACTACATTTTCTGTAACCCACGCCCGTTGGCTCGGGGTAAAGCGAGCCGATCACGACGTGAATTAGCCATGGCAAAGTCACCTGTGCATACTGATGATCACCTAACAAGGCAGAGTATTGAATGTAGCAACGAAAACGATGGTTCTTTGCCCCCATAGGTTGACCATCCATATCCTCATCCGTGTTTTTTCCCAAGCACACCCTCAGAATGCTCGCCACACTAATTCTCTGACTCCCGGGGCCCTCCTCGTCCGACAATCCAAGCCAATGTCGCGCCCAAGCGTCAAGAACACGATATTGCTTGGCATATCGCGCCTCAAACTCAGATATGGACCACCGTTCTTTTGCATATTGAACCTGTGGGGGTAGTCCCGTTGGTTGCACAACTCTTCGAGATCGAACTCTGGGAAAGGGATGCGTTGTGCTCGCGGCAACCGAACGAGTATGGGCGGAGAGGGTGCCCGTACTTGCCGTGACCATCGACTCCGGTCCACGTCGCCGACCCCTCTCCTCCTCCTCATCCTCGGAACCCTCCTCCCCAACCCTGAATCCAAGCGTCAGCCGTCTCCGAGGAGTACGTCGCCATGATGACATGGCTGATGAGGTGTGTGGTTTAGAGTGTGAGAAACGAGAATATCGGGCAGAAAAACAAGAGAGAGAGAGGGGTTAGGGAGTGAAAGGGGAGGGGGTGGGGGGGCTTCGGTTTCGGATTACGCAAGTCACTGAAGTGAGTTGGATGTGAAGGGGAGGGTGGGCAGGTCAGGAACTGCACGACAGGTCCGGCAGCTGGACGAGGGAAGGAGACCGTATAGTTGGTCCTCCGGATCGGAGGACCATGAGAACGAACTCTGATAAGGTTTGGAGCAGCGTAGCAAAGGAAGAAAGGGGTGGCAAACCAAAACCACGAGTGAAGGTAGGGGTGCTGGGAAATAAAGGGGCGTGGACTTACAGCGCAAGGACTGAAGCCGGGTTCACAGGCCGCTGTGAAGCAAAGGAAGAAAGGGGAAGAGAGAGGAATGGGAGGGGACGGGGCAATTGCGGATGGGAAAGAGGAGAAGTGAGAGGAATAGTGGTACTATGTGTGCGCCGGTGACGGGAGAGGAATAGGAGGGGACGGGGCAAGTGCGGATGGGAAAGAGGGGTTTGCAGATTTAATTACAAAGAGGTTCGGAGGATGGCAAGGGAGAGATGGCAGATGGGAAGTAAGGCTAATCAGAAACTCAGGATGCGAGGGTGCTGCGATGGAAGAGAGGAGAGGTGGGATGGAAGGGATTGAGGATGGGCAACCCAGAAAGGGGACGGCATGGGAGCTAGAATGGCACCCACGGCAACTCGGTATAATGCAGGGGGATTTCCAACATGGGAAGGCGGTGAGGGTGCTCGCGTATGAGCTTGTGGGACGCGGGGACCCTAAACCCTTAAACTAATGTGAGAGAAGTAGGAAAGGGAGAGTGATGGTTCAGTGTGGAAAAGGGCAATGGGACGGCTAATAGGGGTGATGGAAAGTAGTGTTAAGGGGCTGTGATTTGGAGGAAAGATAAGGCAGGGAGAGCACGAGAGGAATGAAGCATCAACCGAGGGACCATATTGAACCTGTGTGGGCAGGAAGATTAGGGATGGAGACTGTGTAATAGGTTCTTGAAATGGGACGGCTGGGGGTTGGGAAGGTAGGGGTGCAGAGATGGAAGGGGAGAGGGCTCCCATCTAAAGAACCGGCGTCGGGTGCACGGGCGCTTGAGTAGCAACAGAAGATCGGGGCGAGTGAGCTGGCGTAGTAGGGGACGGGGGAAGTGCGGATGGGAGGGAGGGAATTGCAGAATTGATGTAAAGGTGCTGTGGATGGCTAGTGATGGATGTCAGATTTGAAGACAGAATACTCAGAAACTATGAATAATGAGGTGGGAATCCCAATGTGGGGAAGCTGTGAGGAGGGTGGTGTCAGAACATTTGGGATGCGAGGCAAAAAATAGGGTGATAAACAGGGAGGGAGGGTGACAGTTGAGTGGGATGGAAGGGAGTGAGGGGGCAAAGATGAGTAGAGGGGGACAAGAGGAGCAGAGGAGGGAAAGAGGAGCAGAGAGCGAAGGAGCCTCACAGGAGAAAAGTGGAGCTGGGCGGAAAAAGAGGGGCATAGGGGGAACAGCGGAGCTTCGGGTTGGAAGTGGTGCAGAAAGGAGAAGGACCAGCGGAAGGGGGTAAGATGAGCATAGGGGGACAAGAGGAGCAGAGGGGGAGCGAGGGCGTACATGTGGGAAATAGAGAGCGTGCAACGAGGGTTTTCTGCGGGCGTGCAGGGGGACTGCGGAAGCACCGCCGTTGCAAGAGTGTGGGCGGGGGTGAGGGCAAAAGACGCGATCAGCGACGCCAACGGAGGCTGTCGCGAGACGCGGAGGCAGCGTGGAGAGAGAAGGTGAAGTCCCTCACGCCTCCTAGATCCTCACTGTTGGTGATTTGGAGGAAAGGAGGACGCAATGTGAGTAGAAAGGTGGACGTGCGGTGAGTTGAAAGGAGGACGCAAGGTGAGGAGAGAGGAGGACACGAGGTGAGGAGAGAGGAGGACGCGAGGTGAGGAGAGAGGAGGACGTGAGGTGAGGAGAGAGGAGGACGTGAGGTGAGGAGAGAGGAGCACGCAAGGTGAGGAGAGGGGAGGACGCGAGGTGAGGAGAGAGGAGCACGCGAGGTGAGGAGAGAGGAGGACGCGAGGTACAGGAAAGAGGTGCACACATGGTGTGGAGAGAGGAGCACGTGAGGGGAGGCGAGAGGAGCACGCTAGGGATGGTGAGAGGAGGACGCGCGGGGAGGCAAGAGGAGCGCGTGCGGGGAGGCGATAGGATGCCGCGCGAGTGGCGAGAAGAGCGCACGCGGGAGGCGAGAGGATCTCGCGCGGGCTTACCAGGCAGGTGCGCGCGCTGGGAGGAGAAACGTGTGCGTGTGCACGGGATTCCCGAGTGAGGAAACGTGGGCGCCCCTGTCAGGATAGTGGGAAGTGGTAGGGACCCGCATACGTCGAAAGTGGGTGGTAGCGGAGCCATTTCACGAAGCGTCGCAAGGAGACGGTCCCTCCCTTTAATCCAGTATGGTCGCATGTGAGGAGAGAGGCGCACGCAAGGTGAGGAGAGAGGAGCACGCAAGGTGAGGAGAGAGGAGGCCTCAAGGTGAGGAGAGAGGAGCACGCAAGGTGAGGATAGAGGAGCACGCAAGGTGAGGATAGAGGAGCACGCAAGGTGAGGATAGAGGAGCACGCAAGGTGAGGAGAGGGGAGCACGCAAGGTGAGGAGAGGGGAGCACGCAAGGTGAGGAGAGGGGAGAACGCAAGGTGAGGAGAAGGGAGCACGCAAGGTGAGGAGAGGGGAGCACGCAAGGTGAGGAGAGGGGAGCACGCAAGGTGAGGAGAGGGGAGCACGCAAGGTGAGGAGAGGGGTGCACGCAAGGTGAGGAGAGGGAGCACGCAAGGTGAGGAGAGGGGAGCACGCAAGGTGAGGAGAGGGGAGCACGCAAGGTGAGGAGAGGGGAGCACGCAAGGTGAGGAGAGGGGAGCACGCAAGGTGAGGAGAGGGAGCACGCAAGGTGAGGAGAGGGGAGCACGCAAGGTGAGGAGAGGGAGAACGTAAGGTGAGGAGAGGGAGCACACAAGGTGAGGAGAGGGGAGCACGCAAGGTGAGGAGAAGGGAGCACGCAAGGTGAGGAGAGGGGAGCACGCAAGGTGAGGAGAGGGGAGCACGCAAGGTGAGGAGAGGGGAGCACGCAAGGTGAGGAGAGGGGAGCACGCAAGGTGAGGAGAGGGAGCACGCAAGGTGAGGAGAGGGGAGCACGCAAGGTGACGAGAGGGGAGCACGCAAGGTGAGGAGAGGGAGCACGCAAGGTGAGGAGAGGGGAGCACGCAAGGTGAGGAGAGAGGAGCCCACGCAGGGTGAGGAGAGGGGAGCACGCAAGGTGAGGAGAGGGAGCACGCAAGGTGAGGAGAGGGGAGCACGCAAGGTGAGGAGAGGGAGCACGCAAGGTGAGGAGAGGGGAGCACGCAAGGTGAGGAGAGGGGAGCACGCAAGGTGAGGAGAGGGGAGCACGCAAGGTGAGGAGAGGGGAGCACGCAAGGTGAGGAGAGGGGAGCACGCAAGGTGAGGAGAGGGGAGCACGCAAGGTGAGGAGAGGGGAGCACGCAAGGTGAGGAGAGGGGAGCACGCAAGGTGAGGAGAGGGGAGCACGCAAGGTGAGGAGAGGGAGCACGCAAGGTGAGGAGAGGGGAGCACGCAAGGTGAGGAGAGGGGAGCACGCAAGGTGAGGAGAGGGGAGCACGCAAGGTGAGGAGAGGGGAGCACGCAAGGTGAGGAGAGGGGAGCACGCAAGGTGAGGAGAGGGGAGCACGCAAGGTGAGGAGAGGGGAGCACGCAAGGTGAGGAGAGGGGAGCACGCAAGGTGAGGAGAGGGGAGCACGCAAGGTGAGGAGAGGGAGCACGCAAGGTGAGGAGAGGGGAGCACGCAAGGTGAGGAGAGGGGAGCACGCAAGGTGAGGAGAGGGGAGCACGCAAGGTGAGGAGAGGGGAGCACGCAAGGTGAGGAGAGGGGAGCACGCAAGGTGAGGAGAGGGGAGCACGCAAGGTGAGGAGAGGGAGCACGCAAGGTGAGGAGAGGGGAGCACGCAAGGTGAGGAGAGGGGAGCACGCAAGGTGAGGAGAGGGGAGCACGCAAGGTGAGGAGAGGGGAGCACGCAAGGTGAGGAGAGGGGAGCACGCAAGGTGAGGAGAGGGGAGCACGCAAGGTGAGGAGAGGGAGCACGCAAGGTGAGGAGAGGGGAGCACGCAAGGTGAGGAGAGGGGAGCCCACGCAGGGTGAGGAGAGAGGGGCACGCGCAAGGTTGGCGATCGAAGAGCATTGGAGGTGAGGAGAAAGGGGCACGCGCGGGGAGGCGAGAGGAGCACGTAGGGTGAGGAGTGAGGAGCACGCGCGGGGAGGCGTGGGAGGCATGCAAGGTGAAGAGAGAGGAGAACGAGTAGGTGAGGAGAGAGGAGCACGCGCGGGGAGGCTTGAGGGGCGCGCGAGGGGAGGCGAGAGGAGAACGAGTAGGTGAGGAGAGAGGAGCACGCGCGGGGGGGCTTGAGGGGCGCGCGAGGGGAGGCGAGAGGAGAACGAGTAGGTGGGGAGAGAGGAGCACGCGCGGGGAGGCTTGAGGGGCGCGCGAGGGGAGGCGAGAGGAGAACGAGTAGGTGAGAAGAGAGGAGCACGCGCGGGGAGGCGAGAGGGGCGCGCGAGGGATGGCGGGAGGAGGCTGCGCGGGGAGGCGAGAGGCGGCCGCGCGGGGAGGCAAGAGATTCGCGAGCATTGAAGGCGAGAGGAGCACGCGAGGGGAGGCGAGAGGAGCACGCGCGGGATGGTGAGAGGAGGCCGAGCGGGGCGGTAAGAGGAGCGCGCGCTGGGATGCGATGGGATACCGCGCGGAAGGCGAGAAGAGCGCGCGCGGGGTGGCGAGAGGTTCCCGCGCGGGCTTACCGGAACGGTGCGCGCGCAGGGAGGAGAAACGTGGGCTTGAGAAACGGGCTTCCCGCGCGTGGAATCGTGGGCCTGACTGTCAGGATAGCGGGGCGTTGTGGGGACACGACGACGCTGAAAGTGGGTGGTCGCGGAGTGGTGCACGAAGCGCCGCAATGGGGCACGACGACGAGGAAGCGATGGGAGGGGATAGGGGTAAGGACGATGGGAGGGCAATGGCGACGGGGACCACGGGGGAAACGAGGGTGACGGTGCGTCAAGGGGGAGGCCGATGTGAGGGGATTTCCTCCCTACGCCTCTTGATCCTGTTTAGCGCGACGTCTCGTAATATGGGATTCGAGCATTTTACGCTTGTGACGAGCGCATTCCTAAATTTCGTGTTGCATCGGGGTTGAAGGTGGGAATGTGCTAGGGGCAAAAGCTTAGAGTCTCGCTTAGTAGCCGCACAGGCATTCCTGAATTACCATTTCTAGGCAAACTGTGCACAGGCAGTTCCCTTCTTCCTTCAGCAGGGGTGGTTGGAACTCTCGCCAAGTTGAAGCGTTCTGCTCTACGACGCGGTCTTTGTGGGGTGCGACGTTTTCTGGTAACCCCACTGGGCTCGGGAGGTGTTTATTGGGCTCGGAAGGCAAACTGTGCACAGTTTGCCCTTTTTGATTTGTAATTCAGGTCTTGGGCTTTAAGTCTGTGGGTTTGTCATGGACATGACTTGGTTTCGAGAACCCTGATTGGCCAGAACGCGTTTGTTCAGCCTAAAACCAACGAACATTCTGCTGCTGAATTCAGTCCTTATCAGCAGCATGAGCGGGCGACCAGCCCAAAACAGGCAGTGAGGCAAGCAAACCCTAGCAGGGCCCCACAATGTTCCCACAACCTGAAACACCTGACGCGAGTCGTGACCAAACCCTTGCCATTCGAAGTCCCGCGCACCAACCGCCTTGTCTCGGAACAAACGACGTTGATTTTATTTTTGAGCTTCCTGCCCGAAGTGGTAGTTCGCCACGCTTCACCTTTCGCGAAGGCCTACTACATGAGAAGAGTTAAATGTGATAGTGCGGGCAACTGTGGTTATTAATTAATAAATGTGTCAGTTACAGTTCATGTAGTCCGCTCCCAGCCACAGAATTTCAGTAGCATGGCTTTCCGTGAAGGAAAAATCATGGAACTGTACACCAGAATGTATCTCGTCCTGGGAGCCCTTGGTCTCCCCCATTTCTGCCTCCATGTCGTCTGTCCACGGAAACAGTGGAGCTCATCCGCTCTCTCCACTCGATCCCCTGACTCGTGTCCACGGCAAGGAATAATGAGGCAGCTTGCACCCTGCCAGAGGCAACAGGCACAGTGGATGACCAAACGCGTTTTTCCCCTCTTCTCCTCCTCTCCCTTTCTCCAGCTCCCTTGGCTTCAGTGCCACCATCATGTTGATTTTGATAGCTGAGAAACCCTAGTCTAGAACTTACGGCTGCTTATCAGGGCACCGCACTTAGTTTCCGAAACGTCAACCTAGTCTCCCAAACTTCAACCTAGTTTCCGAAACGTCAGCTTGCTGTTGAGTGACTTCTAGTAGCGATCCTTGGTAAGTCACCGTTTCGTGTAGGTCTGATTGTTCCTACTGACAGACGCACGTTTAGTTTCATCGCTCATTTTGCTCAATGATCGGTGGACTGAGCGGTCCGGAGTCCGCATACATACCGCAGTAGTTGTAGCATCTGTGTGACGTCGCTTGTGTGGAGTTGCCTTGTCGGTCTATTCGCACCTCCTGAGCCATTTCTACCTACTCTACCCTCTCTTCGGTTTTATCAGGAATCGGGTGAAGTGATCCAGCAACCAGCGTGTTGAGTTCTTAATAGAAGCGCAATGAGGCTGTTCCAGAGAAAACATTCGTTTCATCCCGACATAGTAAAAGCTTTTGTTCTCGCGCTTAGTTTCCTCGTGGTGTTCTCGCCTCCCGTGAAAGCTCAAGCGGTCGCAGACTCCCAAAGTAAGCATGTTGACGCCATTCATTTCGGCTTATCCCATCGTTAGTGTCTAGAATTTCATGGCTCAACTATGCGCTCTTTCTAAGTTTCCTCCGAGTTGCATTCCCGTGTCTGCTTGCAGAACCTGCTCTTCAAGCTATTCTGGACGCGTGGGGTTCGGCCCTGCGGCTGAGCCAGACGTGGTTCGTTGCATCAGACTGTTCGCAATGGCTCGGCCTCACTTGCAACTCGCTTGGCGAGGTCATTTCTATGTACGTTGTGTCGTTGCATTGTACAACTCCTTTTAGTTTCTCCAATCTTTAACCCGTATGTTACACATCGTATTTCTCCGTGCCGCTTCATCTCACCCATCTGCGTGCGGTGACGCTTCTTGTTGTGCGACTGTTTCCTTGTTTCTTCCAGAGAGTTTCCCGGACGAACTGAGCTCCGGGGAGCTTCAATTCCCGCCGCCGTTACTCAGCTGACAGCTCTTCAGAAATTGTATGCGCGATTCGAAGGGAGAGCAGAAAGTCCCCGCGGATGTTTTTGTGGGCTGAGGGGAAGCTGGGGGCAGGCGCGGGAAAGGGGAAAGGGTAGGAAAGCGGAAGTGGAGGGAGAGGGGTGGGGAATCAGGGGCAAGGGATCTTTTCGGTTCCGTTTTCTTGTCCCACGTTCCGTTCCGCATTTTGTTCCTGTTTTCTCTAAGCGTCTGCCCTGGTCCGCTCCTCAGTTTCCCATATTTTCCTACCCGCTAACGTGGCGCAGGTCCCTGGACCACACACTGATAATTGGCGAAATCCCTGCTGACATCGGATTCTTGACCGCGCTGACGAATCTGTAAGCATCAGATTCCTTCATTTTCCACCTTTCGTTTCGTCTACGTGGTCGTTCCCTCATCGTCCCTTTACTCCTGCTGCAGCCCCTCACCTTGCCTTGTTCCTGCTGAGGTTCCTGGCCTTGACCTTTCATTTCCCGCTGCAGCTCCATCGTCTCGCATCCGTGCGACTGACGGCGTCTCCCATGGTCTGCACCCGTTCTTTGTTCAACTGATGTCGGCTTTGCTTTTGCGTCCTTTTATGTATTTTTTTCCCTCTCGTCAGGTCCCTTAGCGGAAATGTCTTATCTGGTGGGCTTCCAAGTAGCATAGCCAATATGGTCAACCTGCGGACACTGTAAGCATGTCGCTAGATGCACCCGCGTCGTCAACTCTCATCCAGCTTTTGCGTTAACTGTTAATTCGACCAACCTTCTTACAGCTTCATATTTTTTTGTCGTTCAGGGATGTAAGCTCAAACCACTTGACCAGAGCCATTCCCAACGTCTTCAGTGGGCTCTCTGCTCTCACCACTGTGTACGTCGTCCTTTAAGGATCCGAGTATCTTCGGGTTTGTTTTCTTTCGTCTGGTGTTTTTGAAACCCCTTTCAGTCAACGGTTCATGTTTTTTGTTTGCTCATTTCTTCTGGTGCTGACAAAGCTTGCTATGCATTTTTGGTCGTATGTTTGTCCGATGCAGAGCCCTGGGTTCCAATGGCTTTACTGGAGTCTTCCCACCTTCACTCCTCAGCCTTTCCCAACTCCAGACACTGTAATAAATTCATGGCGTGCTCTATTTTTTCGCAGCTGTTCGCTTATATCTTTATGTATATATATATATATATATACAGGTGCTTTTCTTGTATCAGCGGATTTCGTACCTTCGTTTTTCTCATCTGATGTATCTTCATCCTGCTAAGTTCCGGTCCATGTTTTTTCTCCTGTGAAAACTTCAACGATTATGACTTCTGTTCAGGCTTGTGGGAGACAACCAGTTCTCCGGTTTTCTTCCTGAGAGTATCGTCGGCCTACAGTCTCTCGTCGCATTGTAAGGAATCATGTACTGGTTTCTTGCTGCATGCTAAAGAAAATCTGTTGCACTTGAATATTTGTTTGTGATTCTGTTGCCCTCGGAATTTGTTTGTTGACCTGAGGTTGCTAACTCAAGAACTGTTTTTACGCCTTCCATCTGACATTCTGAATTATATTTGCATGACAGGGACGTCAGCCGCAATCAGTTTTATGGCAGCCTCCCCGCCGCGCTTGGATCTTTTACCGGCCTTGTCTTTCTGTACGTCTTGTTCTTCAGACTTCTTGGGTTCTTCAGACTTGTTGGTTTTAGCAGTTCCTCACGGTTCTTACGCGGTGGATCACGGTTCTTCCGTAATCTTTTTGCTCGCGTTTGGATATTTTACGTCGATGTTTGTTTTGTATTTGGCCTCCGCGTCTGACCAGTTGGCTAACCTGTTTCTCCGTTCTGTTGTCTTGCTTCTGACAGTGACGTCAGCAACAACCAGTTCGGCGGTACTCCTCTCTCCTCCTTCGCCTCTGCTTCGCTTGCAAACACCGCTCAGGCAACCTACGATTTGAGCGGAAATTATTTCAACAACCTGCCTACTAGCTACAACGCGCAGTCCGCGGATTTCTGCCCGTCAAATCTTGAGGGTGGTTTCGCACAGGCAAACCTCGCCCAGTTCGGCGCGTCGAAGACCAGCGGTTTGAGGGAAAATTGTTTTCTGGGTGGAAATTGGAACGTTTTGGAGCATTTCGCTAATGGCAAGGGCAAGAGCAATAGAAAAGATCCGAAGAAGTTTGCGGGGAACAGTGGGGGAAGCGCTAGCGCTGGGACTGGTTGCAGTGTTGGCGCGCAGCGCAGAGCAGTTGAATGCGTGGCGTTTTGCGGAGCGGCTCTTCCCGCGGGTGCCTGCGGGGGCCTCGGTTATTGCACACTCTCCACGCCGTCCCGCACCCCCGCGTGCATCTGTTAGGACGGGATGTACAATGTTACCCTGTCAGTTCGCGAGGGAGGTGTTACTGTTACATACCCTTCGTGCTCGCCGTTCCAGAGCTCCGTCACCCCTCCGCCTCCTCCACCGGACGAAGACACCATGCGTAAGCGGGACTCCCGTGGTGCGAAATTGGACGGCGCAGCGGATATCAGCGGGTCGTATTACAACCAGTATTTTCGCCACATGACTGTTGGATTCTCGGGAACAGCAGCGAGCCCGCAGTGGACCATTCCACCGTCCGTTGACTGGACGTCCCGCATCCCGTCTGCCCTTCTCGCAGCCAAGAACCAAGGCTCTTGCTGTAAGTCAGGGTAACAGCCAAGAACCATGTTTGGTTACCTCAACCCGTCTTCTCCTTTCCGACCAGTATGGTACACCCTTGATTTATCTCAAAACCGTTTCTCGCACCCTTCACTCCCCATGCTCTTATTCAGCTGCATGTTGGATCTTCGCCCCAGCGGCTGCGGTGGAAGCAGCCTACGCCATCGCCTACAATCTCGCCCCACCAAACATATCCGAGCAGAAGGCGATTGACTGCCAGGGCACGTGGTCGTGCGACGGGGGCAAGCCTGACGATGCGTTCAACTACATTGCTGCCAGCGGCGGACTGCCTACGGCGGATAGTTATCCTTACACGGGCATTCTCAACTCCGCCACGTGCAAGGTGAATGACCAGGTGAATACATCCTCCCTATTGCGTCCAGCATTCCGCGCAAGTGTGTTCCCGTGCAAGTGTGTTCCCGTGCAAGTGTGTTCCCGTGCAAGTGTGTTCCCGTGCAAGTGTGTTCCCGTGCAAGTGTGCTCCCGTGCAAGTGTGTTCCCGTGCAAGTGTGTTCCCGTGCAAATTTACTCGTTTCATTGGTTTAACCCACTCTCGTTTACTCGTTTCCATTATCGAGGCAATTTCACATCTTTAGCTCATTCTCAACTCCGTTCCCGGCCTGCCTGCAGATCTCTGCTCGCTTTCGCGTCCGTCGCCTCCTTTCCACCGAAGATGCCACCACCACTGCCATTACTGTCCCTGCCCACCACTCCCGTATGCTCGCTATCTACAAGCCCGCTGGCGCGACCCCGGTTCCTGCCACGATGCCATCCGCCCCCTACTCCATCTCCATGTTTGAAAGCATCGGCGTGTCCGGGTGGCTCGGAATCGCGCTCGCCGTCCAACGGCAACCTGTTGTGGTTTACATTGATGCGCGCGCGGACTCTTTCAAGGCGTACACTGGCGGGTTTGTGTATAATGACCCCAACTGTTACAGCTCGGGGATTGTCGACCACCTGGTGGTCGTCGTGGGGTTCAACATGATAGATGCGGTGCCTTACTGGATCGTCCGTAACTCATGGGGCCCCTCGTGGGGCGAGAACGGCTACATGAGGATTGCGATTGCAGGCGGCGCGGGGATCTGTGGGATGAACACGATGCCCGGCCTCTACCCCGTAATTACCAGTGAGTTGAGCCCTCTCTCAAAACGTGTCTTAGCTTTCTTCGCCCGAATGTTCTCTGGTTTTTCTGACTTTCACTTATGCCTGCTGCCCCAACTCTTCCCATTATCCTGACTTGCTATTCTAACTGCAGCCCCTGATCCATGCAAGCCCATCAATCCGTGCGGCGGGGGCACCTGCACTTCCACTCCGACCAACAAGAGCCAGCGCAACAAGTGCACGTGCCCTGCTGGTTTCATGGCTGTTACCAACCTCGACAAGACGCAGACATGCGCCCTTGGTCAGTGGGTTTGCTTTTCCAAATTTCTGTTTGAGATTGTGTTGTTGTAGTGCAAGTGAACATGAATGTCTTGACTCAGGTATAGACGTGGTCATTGCAGGTTAGTATGGATATTTTTTTTAGCTAGGCTGTTCTCATCTCCTGTTCTGCCTCCCATTTCCCGTTTCCATTGTTCTCATCCCCCGTTTACAGCCAAGGTGTGCACATTCTTTGTGGTCAACCCATGCGGCTTCGGCACATGTGTTGATGACGGCAAGGGCAGTTACACCTGCCTCTGCTCCTTGGGTTACACCCTCGGGTCTCTCACCGATGGCACCCCCACCTGTGTGCCGGGTTCACTTGTGTCCAAGGTCGTGCTGCCTGTCGCCATGTCCTGTGGCTTTGTCCGCACTACCTACCAGCTTTCCAAGAAGGATTTTGTGGCCCTCAACCCGGTAAGCATGAATGTTTCTATGATATGTGTGTGTGTGTGTGTGTGTGTGTGTGTGTGTGTGTGTTTTTTTTTTTTTTTTCCTCGCTTTTCCCCCTCTGCTCCTTTTGAAAGAAATTACAACGCGTGGAAGACTTTCGACGTCCACTCCAAAGAAACAGTAGCAGCACGTGACGTCATTTTCTACGAACGACTCACCCTTCTGACATACCTTGCCAACCTGGAAGAAAATCGGGATCCCACAGGTGGCTTCCGTGGTGACCGACACTTCGCCTCGGCAGCAGACGAAGCTGACTGGGACGAGTAGAACGTGGATAACGCCTCGGAAGAAGCAGGACCACTCCCTTACTGTTCTGTGCCCATCCCGATGGATGACGAAAATCCTCGCGAAAGTGTCAACGCCAAAACTTATTTCGACCTCGCCTACACTGGTTACGTTACACCTGCAGAAGTCAACACCAACGAAGCCGAACGCATAGGGCTCAACTTCATACCTGACCCAGAAACAGGAGACGAAGCAGCTTATCCCGCGGACACAACACTCCCCCGCTACACACAGAGTGGCCTTCAGATACTTGGTCGCGTCACCTAGGTCCACGGCACGGACACACCTAAGAAGCCTGCCACAGTTCAGCAGGCTCTTGGGGGGGAACATAAGGAAAAATGGCGTGAAGCCATGGACAAAGAACTGAAAGCACTACAGGAGCGCAACACTTGGAAAGTGGTTCCTATCGGCGTGGCACGAAACAAGATAATACTCTCCGGGAAGTGGGTCTTCCGTGTGAAGACTAAAGCAGACGGCACCATCGACAATCAAGGCACGCTGGGTCGTACGTGGCTTCGACCAAGAGCACGGACGCGATTTCACAGAGACATTCGCACCGGTTAGTCGACATACTTCACTACGGATTCTTCTCGCGGTCGCCGCAATGAAAAAGAAGAAATTGCGGCAAATCGACGTCGCCAACGCCTTTCTCTACGCACCTGTCGACGCAGAAATCTACGTCGAACTCCCACATGGTTCTCACGGAGAGCCCAATCAAGTCTGTCAGCTGCAAAAATCTCTGTACAGGATTAAACAGGCCCCGAGACTGTGGCAGCAGTGTCAGAACATCATAGCTCATGCATATTGTGTAGGTTATAGTGGGGTAGTCCATAAGGGGTACAACCCAATTAGGGTTATTACTTGTATTCAATTCATTCATAGTTCATTCATTCCTTGTTTCTTCTCATGGTATCGAGCAGGTTCCCCTGTGGGAACTGTTCCTAGGGCCCACCGTTTTTTTTTTCCTGCCCGGAGCGCACTCAGCCCCTGCCCGAGTCGCGCTCCCCTCTCTCGCGCCGCCCTAGCGGCCCTTAGCGCCGCCCTCGCGGCCCCTTCGAGCCGCCCTCGCGGCTCTATCCGCCGCCCTTCGCGGCCCCTACTCCGCCGCCCTCGCGGCCCCGATCCGCCGCCCTCGCGGCCCCGATCCGCCGCTCTCGCGGCCCCTTCTCCGCCGCCCTCGCGGCCCCTATCCGCCGCCCTCGCGGCCCCGCTCCGCCGCCCTCGCGGCCCCGATCCGCCGCCCTTCGCGGCCCCGATCCGCCGCCCTCGCGGCCCCGTTCCGCCGCCCTCGCGGCCCCGATCCGCCGCCCTTCGCGGCCCCGATCCGCCGCCCTCGCGGCCCCTACTCCGCCGCCCTCGCGGCCCCGATTCGCCGCCCTCGCGGCCCCGATCCGCCGCCCTCGCGGCCCCTTCTCCGCCGCGCTCGCGGCCCCTACTCCGCCGCCCTCGCGGCCCCGATCCGCCGCCTTCGCGGCCCCGATCCGCCGCCCTAGCGGCCTCCGGCCCCTGCTCCTACGGCCCCCGCGCCTACTCCTACGAGCAGCCCACCCGCCGAGCCGCCCAGCAACCGAGCCGCCCAGCCGCCGAGCCGCCCAGCAGCCGAGCCGCCCAGCCGCCGAGCCGCCCAGCAGCCGAGCCGCCCCGCCGCCGAGCCGCCCAGCCGCCGAGCCACCGAGCCGCCGGGCCGCCCAGCAGCCGCGCCGCCCAGCCGTCGAGTCGCCGAGCCGCCCTGCAGCCGAGCCGCCCGAACCGCCCTGTCCGGTAAGAGCAGCGCCTCTCTCACAGCACTGCCCTCACCCTACTGTTTGCACTGCTAGTCTACTGCTGTCATGGCTACCCCTAGTGTCCTCGCTTTTGACGCTGAGGGTCGGGCCATTGACTTTGACGTCTGGATAGATGACCTGCAAATTTTCTTACAGTGCGACAGAGCAGACGGCCTCTCCCTCTTTGACCTCACTTCTGGTGCCTCTCCTGCCCCCGCTGCTGATGCTGACGCCACTGTTCGCTCACAGTGGGCCACGCGCGATGCTGCTGCACGTCTTGCTGTGCGTCGCCACTTACCTACCTCTGAGCGTGCGCACTTTAGCCAGTACAAGAGTGCTCAGACCTTGTACGACGCTGTAGTTGCACGCTACTCCTCCCCTGCCACTGCTGCACTGAGCCGCCTCATGCTACCGTACCTCTTCCCTGACCTTGCTGCCTTTCCCACGGTCGCTGACCTCATTACGCACCTCCGCACTAGTGACACTCGCTACCGCGCTGCGCTTCCTGCTGAGTTCTGCGCCAAGAACCCCCCCCCCATGTACATCACCCTCTACTACATAGTCACCCGTCTCCCTGACTCCCTTCGCGTAGTCAGGGACCACTTCCTCTCGGTTTGTCCCACCACTCTCACCGTTGACCTCCTCGAGAAGGCCCTCCTAGCAGCAGAAAAGAGCATAGTCGCTGTAGGAGCCTCTCGTGGTGACCCTCGCACCCCCATCTTTGAGGGGTGTTCCCCCTCCCCTCTTTTGCCCTCTGTTGCTTCTGCTGCTGCGGCCGACCTCGCTGGTTTGGAGTCGGTTGGGGCAGCGTCTACCCCTAGCGGGAGACGTCGCCCTGGCAGAGGCAAGGGGGGCAGGGGCGCTGGAGGAGCTAGCGGGGGCGGTGGAGGCGGTAGTGGAGGCGGTGGAGGAGGTGGGGGTGGCGGTTGGGGTGGTGGCGGGGGTGGAGGTGTAGGTGGCGGCAGTGGAGGCGCAGGCGGCAGCGGCGGTGGGGGAGGGAGCGGAGGTGGCGGCGGTGGAGGAGGAGGCGGCGGAGGAGGTGGAGCTGGTCGGGGTGGCGCTGCGCAGAGGGTCAGCTCCGGTGGTGGTCAGCGCCAGCAGCAGCAGCAGCAGCAGCAGCAGCGCACTCGTGACGTCCCCTCCCCTCAGCAGCTCCGTGAGTGGTACACTGCACGCCAGAGGGGTGGGGGTACTGGTCCGTGCACCTACGTCCTGCGCACCGACGACCGCGCGGGTGAACAGTGCGGGGGTGCGCACTCCACCCAGCGCTGCTTTGGCCGCCTGACGGACGCTTGGCGTCACCAGTTCCCTGAGGCCACTGAGATCCCCCGCTGGGGTGAGCTGTCTAGGGCGGGTGTAGCTGTCTTTGACCTTGACTTTGATGCTATTCTTGCTGCCATGTATACTGTGACTAGTAGTGATGAGGGTGACTGTTACCGGTGTTTTCCGCCCGACCCGGGCATTAAGACTGCTGCTCTAGGTCCTGGTGAGGCTGCTGCTCTAGGTGCTAGCGAGGCTGCTGCTCTAGGTGCGTCTGCTCCCTCAGGTACTGGTGAGTCTGCTCTCTCAGGTTCTGCGTCGGCTTCGGCCTCCCACACCTTTACCCTTGACTCGGGGGCTTCTCGCTCCTTCTTTCGAGACCGCACCACACTCACGCCACTTGGCCGGCCAGTTGCGGTCTCTCTGGCAGACCCCTCTGGGGGTCCTGTCCTTGCTCACTTCTCCACTGTCCTCCCGTGTCCGGCGGCCCCCTCTGGCACCCTGTCTGGTCTTTACCTCCCCTCGTTCTCTACGAACTTGGTGAGTGGTGCTGACCTACAGGATGCGGGGGTTCACCAGTTCACTCCTGCGAGTCAGCGGGTGACCCACTGCACGGACGCTCGGACAGGCCGACACCTGGCCACGTTTACACGTCGGCCGGGGTCGAGCCTGTACACACTGACCACTGCGTCTCCCCCAGTCCCTGCGTCTGATCAGGTAGCTGCGTCGGGTCAGGTGTTTGCTGCAGCGTCCAGGTCTGGTCCTGAGTCTGCCCCCTGCTCGTGTCGCCTCCTGTCTCACGAGACTCTCCTCTGGCACCACCGCCTTGGTCACCCCTCCCTGCTTCGTCTCCGGAGCATGGCCTCCCGTGTCCTTGTCTCTGGTCTTCCCCGGTCCCTCCCTCCACTTCCTCCGGGGCCTGGCCCTACCTGCGTCCCCTGTGTCGAGGGACGACAGCGGGCTACCCCTCACTCCTCCCAGTTTCCTCCGACAGAGGCCCCGCTGCAGACGCTTCACATGGACGTGTGGGGCCCGGCCCGCGTCCGTGGACAGGGTCACGAGCGCTACTTCCTGCTGGTGGTTGACGACTACTCGCGTTACACCACAGTCTTCCCCTTGCGCAGCAAGGGTGATGTCACTGAGGTGTTGATCGACTGGATCCGCGCAGCTCGTCTCCAGCTCAGGCGGAGCTTCGGCTCGGACTTTCCTGTTCTGCGTCTGCACTCTGACAGAGGCGGAGAGTTCTCCTCTGGCCTTCTGCGAGCCTACTGTCGTGCACGAGGCATCCGCCAGACCTTCACGCTTCCGGACTCTCCACAGCAAAATGGGATTGCTGAGCGCCGCATTGGCATGGTCATGGACGTCGCCCGTACGTCCATGATGCATGCGGCTGCCCCCCATTTTCTGTGGCCGTTTGCGGTTCGGTACGCGGCGCATCAGATCAACCTTCAGCCCAGGGTCTCCATGCCGGAGACCTCCCCAGCCTTGCTGTGGACGGGGAAGGTTGGCGATGCGTCTGCGTTCCGTGTCTGGGGATCTCGGGCGTTTGTCCGCGACTTGTCTGCGGACAAGCTGTCCCCTCGTGCTGCTCCTTGCGTCTTCCTGGGTTTCCCCCCTGACGCCCCAGGGTGGCAGTTCTACCACCCCACCTCTCGCCGTGTTCTGTCCTCCCAGGACGTCACGTTCGACGAGTCGGTCCCCTACTACCGCCTCTTCCCCTACCGCACTCCTTCCCTCCCCCCGCCACCGCTCTTCCTAGTACCAGGTCCCCCCCCGGTAGACCCCCTCCCCCCTCAGGGTCCTGCCCCTTCAGGTGTGTCCCAGGTAGACGCTGTTGAGCCTGTCGAGGTCGCTGGTGACTCTGGTGCTGCTGAGGGTGCTGAGCCTGGGCGTGCTGACTCTGGGGGTGCTGAGCGTGTGGGTGCTACGCCTGGGGGTGCTGAGCCTGAGGGTACTACGACTGGGGGTGCTGAGCCTGGGGGTGCTGAGTCTAGGGGTGCTACGCCTGGGGGTGCTGCGTCTGGGGGTGCTGAGCCTGGGGGTGCTACGCCTGGAGGTGCTGAGCCTGGGGGTGCGGAGCCTGAGGGAGCTGGGCCTGCTGGTGCTGTGCCTGGCGGTTCTCCGGGTGCTTTTTCTTGCCGGGAGCCACTCTCTCCACAGGAGCTGCGTGAGTGGTTTGCCCGGCGCTGGAGGCGAGCTGCTGGAGCTGGAGGAGCTGCGGGTACTGGAGTTTCTGTTGCTGCTGAGAGAGCTGGTGCCACGGGTCCCGGAGGTGCTCGTACTGGGCGTACTGGAGCTGCTGGACCTGCGGGTACTTCTGGAGCTGGAGCTGCTGCGGGTGTTGGCGCGGAGGCTACTGCTGTCGGTCCTGGAGGCGGTCCTGCTGGGGGTACTGCTGGTGCTGCTGGGGGTACTGGAGCTGGAGCTGCTACTGGTGCTGGTGCTGCCACAGGGGGTGCTGGTGCTGTCCCCACTGTGTCTGGAGTCGCCGCACGGCCTCGGCCGTACTTCGTTCCGCTCCTTCAGCAGGTTCTTGGTCTCCCGTCTTCTACTGGTCCTCCTCCTCCCTTAGAGTGTCCACAGCCTGTCCCGTCGCAGTTACAGTTACAGCCGGCCTCCCCACTGCCTGCTCCGTCTCCCTACACTGGTCCTACTGGAGGTCTTGCTGAGCGTCGTGAGCCTGCGTGGACGCAGAGATGGCTTCCTGGAAGTCCACAGGCACCTACGTTGACGATGTTCCCCCTCCTGAGGCGAACATCGTCAGTGGCATGTGGATTTTCAGGGTGAAGCGGCCGCCGGGTTCT